GACTTCTGTTCAGTTGGTTGTTCAAGTTGATTGTTCTATATCTTAATTGTAATTCTAATTTGATCTTGGGAGGAAGTGTGTACCTTCCACCTACTCCACTGCCATTTTGGCTTTCCTCTCTCCTTCAATTTTAAATTATAGTCTTGGTTGTAGGTCCTTGTTTTTCATTACTTTGAATATTTTGTGTCAATTCCTTGTGGCTTGCAAAGCTTTTTGAGAAATCAGTTGTATGGAAGTTCCCTTTTAAGAAAAGGAATACCTTTCTCTTGCTGTTTCTAAGATCTTTGTCTTTAGCTTTGTCATTTTAATTTTAATGTGTCTCGGTGTGGTCTCTTTGGGTTCATATTGTTTGAGATTCTCTGAGCTTCTTGGACTTGTATTTCCATTTTCTTCAAATATGTCCTCAAACCCTTGCTCTCTCTCTTCTCTTTCTGGTATCTCTATGATGTGAATATTGTTATGCTAGGTATTGTCCCAAAGGTCCCTTAAATTATCCTCTTTTTTCTTTTTGATGTTTAGATTGGGTGTTTTCTGCTACCCTGTCTTCCAAATTGCTGATTCAATATCCTGCTTCATCTAATCTGTGATTGCTTCCTTCCAGTATATTCCTTATTTCTGACTGGCCCTTTTTTATGGTTTCTGTATTTTTTTTTTAATGCTTACTATTTCTTTGGGTGAAGTTCTCAGTGAGTTCCTCTATTTTCTCTTTAATTTCTTTAAGTATCTTTATAACCATTGATTTGAACTCTGTATGTGGCAGATTGCTAGCCTACATTTTGTTGTTGCCGTTCTTTTTATGGATTTTTCTCCTTGTCTTTCATTTGGCATATGTTTCATTGTCTCCTCATTTTGGTTGACTCTCTGTGTTTGTTTTTATATGTTAGGTTAGATATTCTATGTCTCCCAGTCTTGGCAGGGTGGCCTTATGTGATAGATGTCCTCTGGGGCCCAGTGATATAGTTTCCCTGATCCCCTGAGTTGGATTCTCCAAGAGTCCTTTGTGTGGGTTGTATGCACCCTGCTGTTGCAGTTGGGACTTGATTGCTGTTGGCACATCAGTGTGTTGAGTTGACCTTCAGGTGACTGGCTGTGAGGATTGGCCATAACCACAGCATATAAGCTGCTATCTGGGGGTGACTCCATGGAGCAGGATTTGCCACAGTGGGGCTCTGATGCCTCCTGAGGCCACCTTTTGGGCATACCATTTGTGGAGCTAATTGGGTGGTGCTCTGTTGTGGTCGGATGCTCGCCACTGGATGTGTTGGTTCTGGGGTTTTTTGGGAGAGACTCCAGGTCAGGCCCATGTCAGCCTCTGTGTGTGACTGCACTGGGGCCACCTGGTAAAAGCTATAAAGCTATTTTTGGTTGTTAGCTGTCTGTATTGTATTGGAGATGTGTGGGAGAGGCTATGCTAAAACCAAACTGAGGCTGGCTGCTCCCAGTAAATGACTTGGGACCACTAAGCAATAGACACAGGAGTCCCTGAGATCACCTGTAGTCTCTCAGCTGCCCATAATGCACAGCCACTGAGAGATCCTTGTGCAGTATGTGAGATGGTTGGGGTGGGGTCTGAAGAAATCATCAGAGTGGGATGAATGGTGTTCGCTAGGTTAATGCAGATTTAGGTTTGGTGCCAGTGTTGAGTCTGGGGCCACTCATCAAGAGGCACAGGGCACTGGAGGCCAACTGCCACTTGTTTCTGGCCTCCCATTTGAGAGTTTTTAAGAAATATTGTGGCACAGGCTGATGCCAGCTGCTTGCCACTGAAAGAGCCCCTGGTGGTTTGAGGGCCCAGGCAGGCTGCCAGCCCCTGAAACACCCTTTGGTGGTACAGGAGTTAAGGGGGGTGGGGTCTCAGGGAATCATGACGTTGGGGTGAGTGATGTTCACTGGTTAATGCAGACTGTGATTTGATGCCAGTGTCCAGCCTGACTTCACTCATCAAAAGGCACAGTGTACACAGAGGCCAGGCGTCTCCTTCCTTCAGCCTCGATACCTTTGAGAGTTTTTAAGTTTGGAGTGCAGGCTGACTCTGCCTGCTTGTGGCTATAGGAGCTCCTGGCAATGCTCTGGCCGAGTCCAGCTGCCAGCTCCTGAAAGAACTACTGGGGTGCAAGAATTGCATAGGATAGAATCTCAGGGAGTCACCATGGTAGGGCGAGTAGTATTTCTTAGGTTAATTTGAATTCAGATTTGGTGCTCACCGATCCCCACAGGTCCTGTGGGAAAGGCTCAACACAGTAAAGATGATGTTAACCTGCTGACTGTGTGAGAGGAGTGCTCAACACAGCGACAACTGTGGCTATCTCTTCATCCCTCTCCCTGCTATACAACTGAGCATCTATCTCAATTGTGTATCTGTCTTTTGCCACTCCTGCCACTGTCCCTTTGCTGGAGCTCAAAGTGAGAGCTTGTGAATGAGGGAGGTTGTGGATGACCCCTTTAAGAAAACACCTGTTTCCAGAAACCCTCTGCCTCATCCAGATGGATGAAGTCACCATTGATTTTCACAGCCAAATGTTATGGTGGCTCCTCTTTCTGGTAGCACTGGAACTGGTACTCCAGCCTCAGGAACCCAGTGTGGGCCTGGGACCCTTTGCCCCTAAGGGGGAACCACTACAGCCAATATATCCCTCCGAACTCTTAACTGCCACACAAGTGTGGGGGATCAGCCTGTTCTGGGTCCCCATCCCTCCTACCAGTCTCAAAGTGGTTTCTTCTTTATATCCTTAGTTATAGAACTTCTGTTCAGTTATTCTTGATGTGGTTCCCCAGGTAGGTTGTTTTCTAATTTAGTTGTAATTTTGATGTGGTCATGGGAGGAGGTGAGCACAGCATCTACCAACTCCACCATCTGGGCTGGAAGCCCCAGGTTCTATTTACTGTTCTGTCTGAACTAATAGAATCCTTTCTGGCAATCCAGATGCTTGTCTTCACTAAACTGTCCTTGCTGTTGATAATGTTCTACATAAGTATTTGAAACTGTCTCTTCAGCTTGCTAGTTTTTTTGCATTCCTTGTGGTTTCTACAAAGGAGGTGTTCTTCATTGGAAGTGGCCCAGAGTAGTACCAAGACTAAATAGAAAAAAATTGAAAGCAAGTGATTTTTATGTCCTAATTTGAATACTTGAAAATATTTTATCTTCTGTGGTTATCTATTTTTTCTCAAACATAAGTGTTAGCCCAAAAAGGGTAGACAGGGAAGGCTAGGGTGTACCATATCTTCTTTCTGTATCCCCCTAGGTATTTCCAGTGGATCAAGGCACACAATAGATATCTAATAAGGCCAGTTAATGGGTTTAAGGAAGAAAAAAAGCACTCTCTTTCAGCAATCATGTTAAAAACTTTGACATTATTTTCTTGGATGTTGGTCATCTTGGGTCAACTTCCTCACTTCTGTGAGAGCTTGGGTACATTGGCAGCAAATCCCTTCACCGACCATCTCTACCTCACTACAGAGCTGACATTGGCAAACTGCCAACAGCCTCCATCTTTTTTATACTACCCATCCATTACACCTCCTAAATCAGTGTTCCATCCCAGAATCCAGGTGAGAGGCCTGTCTCATAGCAGCAGGCTCCCTTTTCCAGATGAGCACATTTCTCAGTAAACTGAGTGAATGAGACTGCAGTTAGCTCGATCTGCCCATCCCTTCTTTTTCTTGGCATATTTGCCAGAGCTCTGGCACATGGTCATTTTGGGTTGTGTTGCTAGTCACTGGACAACTCAGAGGTCTGGAGCATGACTACAAATATGGAAATATCTACACAATTAAAAATTGGAGATAATGACCTGTTTTAAAATAAACACCTAGAAAAGCAGCTATGAATTATTCACTAGTATGGTGATTCACAGCTTAAGATTCTATAGTGCATAAGAAAATTTTTGATATTTAATGTGCTCAGAAATGTAATTACATTTGGGTAGCTGAAAACACTCATAATTCTGAAACCACAAGAAGGTGATATTTAAAAAGCATTCTTCAAAACAACTGTGAGCACATGCTGAATTGATTAGCATCTGGGTACCAATGGTAGCCATTCTTTGAACAAACCTGGAGAAAGACCTTTACAGGGATGAAAAATTTAGTATATACCCACTGACGCTTAAATCTAAGGCAAATGGGAATTCTAATGTACAAAATAAATCACTAAATGGTACAATAAGCAGCTATCATACCATTTTTTCAAACATTAATTTCATTGATTATGTGATAAACATGCAGAGGTGAGAACTGTTATGAGGTCAGTGTGGGAATTGAATTTACCCTTAATATAATCTTCAGACATAACCTAAGTTTATGCAGTAACATCCTTAAACAGACTTCGCTGTATATTCACATATATTAATGCATGTTAAGGTTTGTGTCTCTGCAGCAGCCTAAGAAATTCATCAAAGGGAATATCTGGATGTTTCAGGCTGTCAAATGCTGCTTCCTGCTGCTATGTGATGGTAGTTTACACCACCTACAGAAGCCTAGATCAAACATAGACATCTAAACAACACTAAAAATGTCAAAGGGATTGGTGGTTGCCTGGGATTGGATGAGAGGCAATTAGAGCAAAACTGTTTAATGTATAAAGTGTTTTACTTTGGAGAGATGAAAATGTTTTGGAACTAGATGGAGGTAGTGGTGGCATAAATAATTGTGAATGTACTAAATGTCATTGTGTTGTTTGCTTTAAAATGGTCAATTTGGTGTTATGTAAATTTTGCTTCAATAATTTTTTTAAGAAGTCAAAGGAGACAACACCACAGAATCTGGGAAGAGTTATGCAAGCAACCAAGACTAAAGTAGACTGAAGGTACTGTTTGCAGGTTAGAATGTTCTAGAATGTGCTAGAATGTTGAACCTCATGGGCTGGCAGGCACAGAGAGGACTACCTAGGGGAAATCATTGCAGTTTGCAATAGTACCATGAGGGACATAAATGCATGAAAAAGGAAATTAAAAAAACAACAACAACTAGGAAACTAGAAGGGACTTTGGAAATTGTAATACCTTCCACATCACAGCCTAGCAGCTCCATTCTTAGCCCCAGTCCAGCATGAGTGGCTCTCTCAGGGTAGATCCTGATGAATCGTGTGGAAAGAGGTTGAAAAGTCCGTAGCTCAGGTGTATCATAGTTGCTGTTGCCTTCAAAGGACTGTGAAGTATAAAAATCACCAACTATTAATAAAAACTTCTCTTTCAGCAGAAGAGTCCTCAAGACTTTTAATAGGCTAGAGAAATGGGGCTCATTCTAAAACTTCATAAATGCCTGATAGTCTTTTCATAAAAGAGAAAAGAAAAAACAATTAAAACTCCTCTAAGAAGTGACAGATGTCATTTCTCAGAAACCAGAGTACACACTGAGGCTATACCAGAAGCTTTAATGAGACATGTTTTTAAATGATATGCTGATGTGTCTGGGAGGACTGCCACTTCCATCACTTACTTGAGATGGAGGACTTGCCATTTTTCAGAGCTTATAACAGACACCACATTTTCAGTAACTACTCCTATTATATTTTCTTAAAAGAGCAGGTCCTCTAGAAGAAGGGTGAATCAAATTGCTGAAGTAAGAGATAGCAAATTTTATGTAGTGCAAATGCCATTTACTCAAGAACTTGGGTTATTCTAATCCATTGAAATTGCTATTTACTTAAGCAGTTCCACCACCTGGAGATATTTGTATATAAAAGACCTTCTCATCTCAGGAAGGTAACAAGAGCCCTGTCTGTTAAATGATGTTCTGATGCCTGGTTGATTGCACCTCTTTGTCAAGTGCATTCCTAACTTTAACTCACTGTGACATTTTTCAGGAGCTGGGCTACCTATGGCTGGTGCCACTACTGGATTACTTTATTTTCCTTTTTTACATTGACAGGAAGGGTAAAATCCTTGAGTGGAATTGTAAGCAAATGGAGCAAAGACTAGGCCTGTTTTCTTTTTCAAAAAATGGATAAGCTTCCTTATATCTTTTTCTTCCAACACCATTGTTAATTTAGTCCAGAATGGAAGAAGGGAAGGGAGTTTAGAAAAATCAGCTCGCCTTATCATTGGGAGTGGCCTTCTATATATCAAATATCTCATGATGTTTACTGGTGAAAGGTATTGTTCTAAGTGCTTAAAATATATTAATTCATTTAATCATCAAGATAAGTTCACAAGGTAGGTTTTATTATTATACTTGTTTTACAGACGAGCCATAGAAAGGTCAAGCAACTTGTCCACAGCCATAAGGTAAGTGGCAGAGCCAGGACTCAAACCTAGGCAGTCTGAACTGGTGCCCTTCACTACCACACTGTATGATGCCTCTCCCCTTAGAAATAATCTAGTCTAATCTCATCATTTCAATAGATGAAAACACTGAGGTCCAGGAAATTGAGGTCTTTTCCCAAGGCCATGTCAGTCAGGAGCTGGAACCACACCCAAGAGCTGAGTCATAAAACACCCTAAAAAGCAATCATTCATAGTGGAAATATCATGGCAAAACAGGGGACACATGTAAGAGGAGACAGACAAATCGAGTAGGTGGTGACATAACCATGGGTTTTCTGACTTCTAGAAGTAAATTAACTGGTCTTTTCCAACTCTGAAAAACCTCCAGGAATCTTAAAATACATGGCTAACATAGAACCACTTCTCTCAATTAAGGTTTCCTTCTATTATTTTCAAGAGTAAATTCCCTGTTGGGTAGGGTTCCACACTCTTGATAGAACTGCAATTGCTTCCAGTAATTCAGAATCTGACATATACTACTGTTAGGCCCAATTAAGTGTCATTAGTAAAATACTAATTATACTGAAAGTAGAATTACTACACATGCAAGTTCTGTCTACATTAATATAGCTTCAACAATCATAGGAAAAAAGCACTTGTATCTATGGAATCCCAGACTCTTCTCCTAATTTTAGCTTAAGCAAAGAATTAGCACACTGTAAATACACTACAAAAGCTGTTAGTGATGAGCTGGGAAGAACGTTAGCAATAAAGAGCCATATGGAACTGGGCTAATTTTGCTAGCATGAGATCATTTATAAAAAATATTTGTGTCCTTTTACTAATCATGTTTTAGAAGAAGAGGGCTTTGAGTATTTAAATCTTCTATCTGCTCCTGAAAAGTCTAGTTAATTAAAAGACTTTGATATATTTTGTCCACCATGCACTATTTGAGAGCAGAAATCAAGGAGAGAGCACAGAGGATTTTAAATCCATCAAAGTTCTGGTTCATTTAACAAACAGTACTCCTTTGACTGTTATATATGATGGACTTGTCATCCTGAGGAGGTAAACTTCATTTGTAAGTTTAAATATAGTATTTTTTTAATCCTCACCAGAGGACATTTTTTCACTGCTTTTAGAAAGAGAGGAAGTGAGAGAGGTAGGGAGAGAGAGAAATATTGATATGATAGAGAAACATCAATTGGTTGCCTCGCGTACAGCCCCCAACTGGGGACCAAACCCTCAATCTAGGTAAGTTCCCTGACTGGGACTCGAGCATGCAACGCTTTGGCTATAGGATGATGCTACAACCAACTGAGAGCCACAAGCGCCAGGGGAATATAGTATGTCTGGAATATATTTATACAATTTAGAAATATGTGCTGCTTTTAAATTGAAGGTTTTATCAGTTTGGTTTTTTTTTTTCATTATAAAGATTTTATTCCTGGGAAAGGGCATATAGGGATAACTGATTAGGCTCTATATAAACAACTTAGAAGCTTTCATGGCTTAAAATGCCATAGGAAGATGATAATGACTGATAGGACCACATTTTAGAAATAAAATCGAACATTCACCCAATCTTGAATGGATATTTTTTATTAAAATTGGAAACTGTATGTTGATGTCTTGTGGAACTTTATAAGCAATATACTACAAGAGAGTGATTACAGAAGCATGATTGGATAATAAAGGGAAGAATATGATGCATTCTATCCCAAGCATACGGTAATTCATTTTCTTTCTGCATTAGAACCTAGCACAAAAGAACATGCCATGGCACACACTGCCATGAGACAGTAGCTCCAGGAAGTTTTGATTTGCAGCAACACACTGATAAAGTCACAGGCTCACTTTTCCTCCAGAGATTGGCTCTTAGGGAGAACTCCAGTTTTCTGTTTATTTTACTTATTCTTTCACTAAAACAAGAGGGTATGACATAAAAGGGAAAATGAAATGGACACTAGAGAGAAAGTAGCTGTACACAAATGGCAAATACTCTGGAAATGTTTAGAAACCATAAGTTAATGAGAGCTGAAATGAGAGAGAAACTCTTACACTTGTGACAGCATCATCCCTGTCAGTGGCTGACTTGCAACTAATGGGGACAGGGCAGTTTCTGCAGAGCCACATGTCTGGACAGACTGGGACCCAGTGTTTGTTTTTCTACCTGCAATGGATTTGTTTGAGTCACTGTATTAAGCCACAATCCCACACCCACTTAGAATGAAAGTGAGGACATCATTCCCTCCAATTACCTAGAATCATCTTTTCACAAAAGGAGTAGGCCCTGGGCAAGGTAGGGATGTGAAGAATGGAACTAAAGGGTCAATTGTTTTGGGTGTGAGAAGTATCATTATCTGACTACAGTTCCCACACCACATATAAACTGACTGTGGTTGGTTACTTATTTTAGTCTTAAACCAGCTTCTGAGCCACCCAGCATACTCCTTTCCTAGTTGAAACTGTGTGTGCAGGAAATGCAAATAAACTCAATAATCACCCTAAGTAAAACATAACCAATAAAGAACATCTGTTTGGTTAAATAATATCATACCACGTGTTCTGGTGAATACTGGAATATTTTTATATTGAGATTCCCTTCTCTTTTCACTGGACCAAGAACCAACTGCATTTTACATTTGATCTTAGCCAAAAGGCTGAGAAGTGATGAGAGCTAACTGCATTTTAAAAGGTTCCAATGCATTAAAAAAAATACTTAACAATAGTCAAAGGTAGGAGCAACCCAAGTGTCCATCAATAAATGCATGATAAACAAAATGTGGCCTATACATAAAATTAAATATTAGCCTTAAAAAAGAAGGGAATTCTAACAACATAGATAAACCTTGAAGACATTCTGCTAAGTGAAATATGCCAGTCACAAAAGGATAAATAAAGGGTGAGACAAAAGTAGGTTTGCAGTTGTTCACATGGAAAATAACACAGTAATTGATAAATAATAATACAAGAATAAATTATTTTTGCACACTCACAACTGTAAATCTACTTTTACCCTGCCCTGTACTGTGATTCCACCTATATGAAGTACCTAGAGGAGTCAAATTCATAGAGACTGAAAGTAGAGTGGTGATTTCCAGACACTGGGGGAGAGGAGAAATGGAAGTTATTGCTTAATGAGTACAAACTTTCAGTTTTGAAAGATGGGGAAGTCCTAGATATTGGAGATATATATTTAATTAACAGTACTGAACTGTAAACCTAAAAAGGCTAAGATGGTAAATTTTATGTTTTGTGTATTCTATCATAATCAGAAATTTTAAAAGGTACACTTAAAGAAGGGAGGGTGATGGAAGGGAAAGGAAAGGGGCTGACCGATGCTTGTCAATTATAATCTGCTGAGAAATTCTGAGTTCCTGCCTGGTGGCTGCTGTCAGCACCCTGATCCCCACCCTCACGGCTGCTCTGCCTGCCGTCTGTGTCCAGCTATTTGCCAGCCCTAGGGGAAAAAAGCTGACCAGCAATACAGTTCTTTTCCATGTTTTTCTCAGACATCACTTCCTGTACCCCAATCCTGTCTGCCCTAGAATTAGGGATCAGTAATCTCAGAGCTAAAAGGAAAGAAGTCTCACTTCCTCAGGAAAATGCTGGAGGTCCTTGAGCTAAGTCAAGGACATAAGGGAGGACTTCCTCCTGGCAGTCCCTTTGTTCCCTGTCCCTGGATCTTACCTTAGCCTTGCGCTTGCTGTCGTCCATGATCATTTTCCAGTCCGAGCCATTGTTGCTGTACCCTATCTTGAACTTCCTCATGGAAACCTTGTTTTCTCGGTGCTTTCCCCCCTGAATGATGATGCCCCTCACAATCTTTTCCTCTCCCAGGTCCACTTGGAGCCACTCATTTATGTACGGATGAGGTGCGGGTGGCAGTACCCAGCCAGAACGACTGGTTACAAGGCGAATATTTTCAGGCATCCAGTTCCTGTCCCCTTGGTTTGATGCTGTAATCTGGGAGTCAGAAATAAGTCCAGACACCATGCCCAACATTCCAGAGCAAGGATAATCTAGAGGGTGGAATGAAATAGATGATTCAAAATGCTTTTCTAGAAGTCTCCATGTTTAGAAAGAACATGAATCAAAACATTTTCTGTACACATGCCTATAAATGTTTAAATCTCTGACATTAAGTCATTTGACATTAAATTCTCCTCCTCATACCACACTAGAATAAAAAAAAAATCTTCAATAGGAACACACATTTCCTTCCTTTTTGAGTTTTTCCAAGAGAGTTAACAACATCAGAAATGTTATATCTTCTTCAGCAGCCCAAGTAGCTTCTGAGTATGAGTATCAATCATTGATTCATTGACTGTTTACTCAAAAACAAAATGTTCAACACTTCAATTATTCTCCTTTCAAAATTGTACATCACAAACAAGAACATGCACGGGGATAAAAACCTATTTTTCTTTGAAACAACTCAATTCTGCATAATATCAAAATTTAGCCTAAAAAATATAACTGTCTCAAGAGATATGTATCTAATACAATTAAACTATGTCCATGTTATCAGGTGAACCTTAAGAATGAATTACTGAAATACTTTCCACATGAACTGCTGTATAGTCCAGATCATGTCATTTCTTTATTCACATCTTCCATACCTGCTCACATAGGAATTATGTACTCACTTTCAGCCAAGCATGCCAGGCCTTGCACAGCATGCCCTTGCAAGGCATTTCTTCATTTACCCCTTAAAGTTTCTAGAGACAACTGAAATGAACGACTTCTTCACTGCGGGTAGAGGGGTGGGGAGGCTTTCTCTCTCTCTGTTCCCTTCATCTGACACTTTCCACTGCTTGAACCACTTAAAATCTTGACCCATTTTCAAATGTCATGATATTTATCCTTATCTCCCCACCTATGGGGGGCTTTCTTTTCTAGAGGTCTTCTCAAATATTGATGGCCAGATTCAGTTCCTTGGATGACTGCTATTGGCCTCCCCACATTTTAAGTTCTCTGAGGCCATGAACCAAGTCATATTTAAAATTTTTCTGACTCCTCGTGTCCTGCTTTATTAATGTATTTACTCAAAAAATATTTGTTGAATGAATCAACTTATTGACACATTAAAAGGCAGCTGCCCATTTCCCAAGAACATTTTCTTGAAACCTGAAAACTAACAATAAATTCCGTGGGGATTAAGAAAAGATTTACAAAAACTATTTTACGAAGGGACCATGAAATTATAGTGTTTAAAATAGAAATCACATTTTTGGTCACACCTGCCTGATTCACAACCAGCTTTTATACAGAAAAATGTTTAGCTGGTAATAAGGACCAGATGTCACCACTTGGGGAAAAACACAATTAACGTGAATATTGTAAGGAGAGCAGAGCCTTTACCAGATTAATGCCCTTTCTCCAATGCAGAGCTGGCCAGGGCATAGTTTACAATCCATGAACCTAGTGATACCCAATCCCCATTTAACCAACGTGTCCACAGAGCACAAACTGCCATGTCTTCTGTATGTGTGCGTCATCCAAAAAGAACAATAAAGGGGAAACTTGATTTGCCTTTGACTCAAAACTTTAAGATTCTTTCAGCAATGATTAGGAAAAAAATATTAGTAATTCAAGGTGTAAATATGATGTTAGGATTGAACTCTGCTCTTCATAGTAGTAGGCTGGCTCAAATGTACTTTAGCCTGGCCACACGTCAAATCTTTTAGAGAAAGTGTTGCCAGAGTTAGCAAAAAAGCAGACAAAACAACAAAACAAGAAACAGGATGCTAAACTAAGTTAGAATTTCAGACAAACAAGGAATAATCTTTTAGTATAAATATATCCCAAATATTTCATGGGGCATTTTTATATGAAACATTATCTGTATAAGACAATTGGACATTTTATGTTTTACCTGGTAACCCAGTTTGCAAAGCTTTAAATCAATCTTATATGGAAAGGAGAGCTGAGTTCCACAATGGTGGATTGAGGTGATTATTTTCACTGATGACTATTTTACAATAAAATCTCTGTACTTTAATGGGAAAACCAAGATAAACCAAGATATACTGGTAAGTCAAATACTCAGTCAACCAATTTTCAAAGAATGAGAAGGTAATAGCTGCATTTGATTGAAGAACCAGAATAAGCATAATTTAATCTTTCATTGATGACTCAGAAAATATCTTTGGATACCGTGGTGCCTGAGACCATCACAGAGAACTTTTGATCAGCATAGGAACAGACTAATGTATGCAGGAGCACTAGTTAATACACATCTGGTTAACAAATACAAGTTAACACAGTTTGTAGTATGTCCTCATACGTTAAGCAGGAACACTCCAAGATAATTTTACCAATTTCCATCTTTGACAAAGTAATAAGGCCTGCTTTGTTGATCACCTATAAAATAGAATAGTTTGCTACAGTCTTGTTTATATCTTTATATGGTGGCATATCATTGCATAGTCTGGACTTTCCAGGATTACAAATTTCAAAAAAGTATTTTCTGAATATAACAATTAGGCTAAAACTTGGGGCACTGCAGACTTTGGAAGTCAAGTGATATATTCACCTGGTCACTACCTTTAATTCAAAAGTTTTTTAAAAATCTAGATTGAGTTAGGACCTGCCTCCTCAAGAAAAGAGAGTAAGATTTGGAGATCCATCACTTGTTTCTCAGAAGCCATGGATAAAATTGTAATTCATTCTTTCATTCATTCATCTAGGCATATAGGACACAATTGGAAACCAGTCCAGCAAGGACATGTATTCTTCTTTCATCAGTCTCTACTGGAAGGGGACCATGGCCTTCAAAGGAAAATTATCTGTTTCTGGTACCAAGAAGAAAACACTGATATTGTCTCACTAGAGTTTCTCCTTGCTGTGGCTTATTGTAGGTTCAATTTATTACATACCATTTACTGTTTAATTTACTAGGTTCCATTTAGTAAGCACTTACTCTAAACCAGGTGTGTTATACATATTCTTCCACTGAATCCTTATTAAAACTGAATTAAGGTTAATCTCACTGACCAGAAAAGGGAGATCAGAGGGACTAAAGTCTTGCCCATGGTCACCCATTCACTAAGTGCACAGTCCAGAGCCAAGCCTCGGTTGGCTATGCACCTTCTGTCCCTGTGATCATCATTATGACATGCTAGCCTCTCCAAAAACCTGCCTCAATCAATTATTTGGAGATTGTTATCTCTCTTACTAGAGATAAAATATCTAAAATAAAATAGGGGTCATGAATAACAGATAGCCCTCTGAGCCTAAATGCAGTATCTTATTTGAAAAAAAAAAAGGCTACATGGCAATAGTTGTAAAATAGAATACATGTAAAAATATTAGAATATGCTATTTTAGACATCTATATTTAAATAAATAGGTCATTTAATCATTTTTAAAGATACAATAAATTATTTGCCTTCTTTACATGTGAAGACTCATACTCTTAGAATTAACTCTCAGGAAAATCTTTGTGAAAGTGAAAATAGAGCATTCAGGTTTAAACAAGTATTTTATTTAACTAAAAGGAGAAACCTGGAGATTCAGAGTTCAGACTAGCATATTTGGAGTCTTTATAAAGTTTACTTTTTTATTTTTGGTATAGTGGCATGAGATTGGGTTGGAATAATGGGCCAAAAATTTCTACCTTGAATTCAAATGGTCTTGTTTCTACAATTTTATGGGTACCTCTTAAATTTGTAATGCTCTGAAAATAACTTAGAGCTTTCTCTCATGAAACTTCTGATAAAAAATAAAGCCAAGGTTATATTTTACTTTTCAGTGTTCTTTCTTCCTCCAAACCTCTCCCAGCTAATTCCTGCCTCCAGGACCCTGAACTTCTAAGTCTTAGGTCCTAGAACAATAAACATGGCTGTCCTGAGGACAGAAATAAAATTTTGGGAAGAAATCAGATGTCAGTTTTTTACTTTCTAAAAAGGAATCTACTTGTTTACAGTACAGTTCTTTTTCCCCTCCTTGGTTCGCTCTTTTCCAAATTGCTTATAATTTCATGGAAAATTGCCTGGATGATTTTTTCCTTCAAAAGTCAGTATTTTTCTTATCTATTAATTATACTAAAGAGGATAAAAATAAATACAATAGAATTGGCCTTCATGACGTGAGAAATTAAATACCCTACATATGTATACTAATAGAATATTAAAAGATAGTTCACAGACCTTTAAAAGTTGTTCACTTTTATTGGTGAGTCAGTTACTGATACTGTTTTGAACCTTTAAAATTACTCTAAAGGTTACATTGCATTGCTCTTTCTAAAAGGAAAAGATTACAATGTATTTATTTAAATAAAAGGGAATTCTAGCACCTATTTCCTTCACCAGTAACAGCAATACTGATTGCCAAAGAAGTACAATGAGAAAACAGGCAGGACCGTTCTTTCCCCTCCAGCTCTGTTCTGACCTGGCTGACCTTTTTTTAGCTCCTTAGTCTCTCAGTACTGCACTTTCTTCATCTCTCAAATAGGTATAACCCACATACTTACAGTAAATTTAACAGAGACTTTAAAGTTGTATTAATGTCAGAAGAAACAAACTCAAAAACTAGAAACATTGCCGAATTGATTTCTAATATTAGTATATTCATTCAACAAAAGATAGATAGATATTGAGAAAACAGAAAAGAGAAGGTTGCCAGGGTAATTAGTGAGTAAAAGGAGAAATTCTCACAAATTAAACTCCTTAACTGTAGTTCCTGAGGCCACCTCTAGACTTCAAAATTTAAAAGATGAAGCAGGTAGAGAACATTCCTTACAATGGTTATTTATTATAAATCTACTAAGTACCTGTCAGTGTGCTCAGCACCCAGGAGACAGGGCTAAAAAGCATGACACTTGCCTTCGTGGAGCTTATGGTCTAGTGAAAAGCCGCCACCAGTTCTCAAATCCCTACCACATGCCTGCCTGTGCTAGGTGCTTTATATCCATGTGCTAATCCTTTATCATCACAGCCCTGTGTGGTGTACACGATGATAACTGTGTTCCAGGTGAGATAATTAAGGCTATGAAAGGTGTTAAATTGCCCAAAGAAACAAGCTAGTGAGTACACATAGAATTTAAACTCAGATCTGCTTAATCCAAAGCATATGATCTTAACTATCAAATGACAATGACCACATGTATATAAAATGACTTTCCCTATATTTAAAAGTTTATATAAATCAAAACTAGACAACTTCAAACTAGAGCTTACCTGTTATCTTGCAGCCATATACTTCAAACCTCAGAGATATGCCATTTTCCCAAGTCAGAGGTTTGATTCGCACAAATCGAGTTATCAGAGGTTTGGGGAAAACTCCAAACACAACATCTGTGGGATTAGTGTTTCCCTGAAAGATCTATATGGAAAAGGAAAAGCCCTTTAATAATAGACTTTTTGGATTGAAAACAAATAGAAAAATGTGTTTTCACAAATGCTTGTAAAAATTATTTACAGTTTCAGCATTGTCTATTCAGGTTGAAGTGGTATTAATAAGTCATCCATGTTATTTTTCCAAGTGATGGTGCTCAGAAAGAATCATGTTTAATATAGAATATTTTCAGATTGGATAGAGACTCTGAGAGCATTGTTACAAGGATAACATTTGTTAAAGAATACACACACTATTATTATAAAAAGTGGGCAATGATTAAATTTAGCATAAGGACGAACAAAGGAAGAAAGAAAGAAAAAGAGGGAATGCCTACCTTTTGTGACAACTTGGATGGAACTGGAGAATATTAAGCTAAGTGAAATAAACCAGTTGATGAAAGACAAATACCATACGATCTCACCTATAAGTGGACTCTATTCAACAAAAGAAACTAACAAGCAAAATAAACCACAGGCATGGAAACATGGAGAGGACTGAAAGTGACCAGAGGGGATGGGGAAAGAGGACAATGGTGGAAAGAAGGGGAAGGGTCTAGACTAAGAACATGTATGAATGACCCATGGACATGAACAACAGAGTGGGAATTGACTGTGGGAGCCGGGGGTGAGGGTAGGATGGGTGGAGGGGGGGAAGGGGGAAAAATTGAGACAACTGTAATAGAATAAACATGATTTATAAATTTAAAATAAAATAAAATAACAATTTAAAAATCAGGAAGGACTAACAAAATGCTATAGACATTTGATGGGAACTCTTATTATTTTACTTTCTCAGGAGCCCCCAGAAGGCCTGTTTTTGAATTCAGTGTAGGGTATGGCTTTTAAAAAAATTCTAGGGTATGTTCCAAGCTATAGCACAAGATCAAGTGGCTCTCTCCCTTCCAACTCCACTTCTTGATGGAAGATCTTCTCCTTGACATTAATTAATGAGTTAATCTTTCTGGGTTATTGGCAAAATTATGTTTTAGTGGTTAAAATCAAAACTGAGTTATAAATGATATGTAATCAGAAATCAGCTTTTCCAGGGCTTCTGCTTCTAGTTTTAAAAGGAGTCATTTTATTCTAAGAAAGATGAAGCATGCCACTGCAGGTGTAATGAGTGCAAGTCACAAACCTGTCTCCCACAAGTACCGGTAGGGACCACAGGGCCCGGGCCCAGGCCACAGTCATGTTCTTGAGCAGTGGAGACTATTTACTATCGTGGGACATACTGGAAGTAGACATGCCTCAGGTGAAACTGAAAGCTTCTACTTTCCTGGATTTTACTTCTGCCTGGATGGGGGATGACCCATATAAAAGTAACATGTCTCAGTAATGTGCCGTGTCAGGCGAGACTCCTCTTCCCAGGCTGTGTAACTAGAGAGATTACTGGGCTCATCATTCCTTTCCACCTTCTCAGGTAGGATTGTAGTGGAGAACCAGTTTCCCAAGGTTTGCTCTTCCTCTGGGAGAAAGGGTTTATAAAAGTCAAGATGCTGTTTTTACTTCATTTAGCTTAAGTGGCCTGCAAAATCAAAATGGGTCAAATGCTTTACCATGTCGGCTGTTAGCCTGATCCCTCATCCAGAGGTGATTTAGTATCATAATTTATTCTAGCCTGTGATAGACTTTAGATTTCTCTCCTACCTCAGCATCTCTCTCTGGGAAGCAATCTGTGTGGGAGCACTTTTGTATGACAAAGAATAATGGGTTGCTGCCAGAAAGAGTAGAGTTCCAAACTGTGTTGCTTAAAGGGTCAACAGGCACACTTCAGGGAGAGCCCGGAGAGCTGAGCAGTCTGTTAGAGCATTACATGTTCCAACCTTTGGCTCACACCAGGGGACTTTTATGTTTGCTAAAAGCCACGTAAGGACATGTCTTCCATTCACACAGAGAGGACTGCTGGGGGTGTGGCTGGTCCCCGGCTGTTCTGTCTGAGGAAATCAGGAAAGAGGGTAGCAGGCAGTGGCTGAAAGGCCCCAGAGTACAGAAAAAGGCAGGTGGCCAACAATAACTAGACTACATGTGGACATTTGGGTTTCACTGAGGTTCAGTGAAAGTGCTCAGACATATGCCAGCTCTTTATCTTTGTTGGATCTTTCTTTATTCCTTCTGCATCCCAATCTGAAAGCTTTGTGTGTGCCGGGGTGCTCCTGACAATGGACAGCCCCAGCTACCCCTGCGGAGAATCTGCATGTGTTTCTGACACCCCTTCTGGGCCAGGTGAACAACAGATAGACAATGGTTGCAGAGGTGGTCTTGGAGAAGCAGTACTCATTTCTTTAAAGAAATGGCCTCAAGGTCTGAGGTCAGTTCTCCCCATTCTCTCTTGAGTCTCTTGTTTGTGGTATGTCCTTGGCATTAGTGGACCTTCCTTCCTTCCTTCCTTCCTTCCTTCCTTCCTTCCTTCCTTCCTTCTTTCTTTCCTTCCTTCTTTCCTTCCTTCCTCCCTTCCTTCCTTCCTCCCTTCTTTCCTTCCTTCCTTCCCTTCATCTCTCTCTTCCTTCCTTTCTTTCCCTTCCTGCCTTCCTTCCTTCCTTTCTTTTCTTTCTTTCTCTTTCTTTCTTTCTTCGGTTTGCTTGTTTGAAATGAAAACATGTCTTCAAAAAACTACAGCAAAACAAAAATAAGCTGTGGAAGTCAGGGTCAAATTGACTCGCTTAACTGCCAAAAATGGTGACTAGAATAGTTTTTCTTCCTCAGATGGGGGAATGGTTCCCTGTCCTCACAGGCCAGATGGTGGCCGTGAACTTGCCTGTCCACAGAGCTTTCCTTCCACAGAGCAGCTGCATACCTATATTTGCATTAGTCTTGCCTCCTAACAAAAGAGAGGGCTTTGCAGCTAATCAAAGGGAAGTAATAGTTCTCTCATTTCGCACCCAGGACGCTTTTCTTAGCTCCAGAGCCAGGAGAAGTCAAGGCCATGAACACCGTAAAGAGATAAGGACATGAATCTGACCTCTTCTCAAACCCAGGACTTCAAGTTACCTGGATTTTTGCTACCATCCTTATCAATTCTCTACATTTTACTCAGCCTCTGGGGTAAGCTTTTAATTTTGGGGAAACAGCAAGTGTGAGTTCTCAGAAATCTTTTGATTACTAAACAGAGCAAATATAACTTCAAATACAAAGACAGGCTGAGAAAAAACACCTCATTTCCAGGTGATTTAGAGCAGAACTCCCAGGGGCAGGGCATGGTTGTGTGCCTCCTTGGTTAAAGCAGTGAGGAGGTGGTGTAGATGTGATCTAAGGGAACATGATGGACTAACTTAGTTCTCTTTATAGAACTAAGCAGCCAAACACATTGGTAAATTAGTTTGTGAGCCACAGAGGGTAAGTGAAAAAGACTTTTCTAAAGCCAGCCTGTTACAAAGAAGAACAAATCCATGAAAGAGAATGGAGAAACATAGTGAGTGTGTGTGGGGGGCGGGGGGAGGTGGAGGTGGGGAAACTCCTAAGACTCTAAGAGAACAGTGTCCCGTGCATGGCCCTTGTCCCTGGGGGAAGTGGGAAGTGATTCTCAAGTCTGACACTGGCACTGACCCTTCTAGGACACATCTGTATACTTGGCTTTTGGCTGCTGGATCTGGGAACATGAGATACCTTGGTCAGGTTTAAACCTCTAATTACACTTTTCATGTTAAAACAATTCAAAAATAAACCAGGCTGGACAGAAAGCTCCCAAACAAGCAAGTACAATCGATCACCCTTTTCAAAGACTGAACTGGTGGAAGGAGTGGCAGCCAAACTTACAACAGGCTTATTTCCTTCTTTGATGGTGATCCAGTCTTCCCCATTGGAGCTGATGTCTATTCTGTAAGTGCTGACGTAGTATTTCTTCTTGGTTTCCTTTGAAATGGCTCCCTGGGTCCCAACAGCAGTAACAAAACGCAGAAACCCTAAGTCCACCTGCAAGACAATACCTATGTGGTCAGCTGTCCCTCCCTGCACTGCCCTTACCTGGAGCATCTCTCCTGTGGTGTAGTTTCCACCTACCTGGGATCAATAGACCGTAATTCCATCTGGCATGCACAACCCCCAAGTCCCCATCCCATTCCTTCTGACAAAAGGCACATGAGATATGAGAAGACAGCAATTGCCCCTAGGTTGGCAATTGCTGGGAGGAGACCTTTCTCCTTGCTACAACCAAGATTGCTTGAAACTGGGTTCAACATCATGTTGTTATATTTTTCTAAGAGATTAAAAATCCTTTCCAAATAGCACATTAATATATGTCATTTTACAAGTAGAAAATCAAAACAAACAAAATAAACTTAGATATTGGATACTGGAGAGACCTGGACTAGAACTCAAGTCAAATACAGTCCTATTCCCATGACTGTTTAGAACCCCAATCCTTCCAAATAGAATGCAGACTAAAACAATACTGACTTTGAAAGCAAGGTGAGTGCTGGGTTTTGAGAAATGGGCCCTAGATTTGTAATCTGGAATGGAGAAGAGAGGAAGAGTAAAAAGTGAAGATTTTTGTTTCATAAATTTGCATTTCAGATAAACAACAAATATTTTTAGTATAAGCACGTCCCAGGCAATATTTGGGATCTACTACAACCGGCTCATTCCATACTTGACATAAATATTTAACTGGGCATTCTTATTTACCTGGTAATCTTAAAATGAACTCATTCCAGACAAATAATCAGGTGATTTTAAGTTGCTGCAAAAACTCTGATTTCCTAATGTTGCAATTGGAAAGTTAATGGGTACTCTGCAACTGTTTCAAACACTCTCAGAACACTTAGTGTGTTACTCTCTATCCACTGAGTTATGCCCAGTGCCATATCTGCTTTCAAGTTGAAGGGCTCTTAAAATCTTAATGTTCAAGAGAGCATGAAGCAAAGCTACTTAAATAAACTCTTCCTGCCAAACTTACAAATGACTCTTCAGCCTAAAAATGATTAAATTCCCAAGAGTGAATATTCAGCTTGGACTAATTTGAAATAACTCTAGAACTTTATTCCCTGGTTGTCCTATTCCATCTTTTTAAATTTTGTTTTTAGAATAAAATTTAGTTACCAGGTAAGAAAGAAGTTAACTGGTTGTTAACCAGAAGAATCCTTAGCCCTAGAAACAGCTGACTTGAAAGAAGGAGCAATTGATTGGAATTTAGCCAACCCAGGAAGCACCCAAAGTCTCAGATAAAAAGGCCCCAAATGCATATGCATGAATCACTCATAAAAAAAGTTTTCTTTTTTCAATTACAATGAAATGCATTAGCAACCTCCCCTTATAATTGCATAAAGTTTCCTACTGTGCTGTAAAACTGTAGATTCTCTTATTTACCACAATGGGATACTTGACATTTCATTTAATTTTTCTTCCTAACATTACTGCCACTAGGCTTAGTATGGATGAATGACAACCTCACAAAATGATAAGAGCTGGGAATCATTGCAACTAAAACTGGAAGGTACCCAGAACTCTAACAAGACAGTCTTCCCAGCACTGTGGGAACTCTCACTGGCAATGCTAGGGATGTTCTTTTAAGTCCTTTCTCCCTCGGTATCTCAGGGGAATACCCTAACAGAGATCCTCCAGTACCTGATGTTTGGAAGGAGATATATAGCCTTCCGCCTCAGGAGCACCATGGCTCACACTGCTGGTGTTTGTGTCAGGAAACTCAGGACTGCATGCCTGTGTGCATTCCTTTTTCATGAGTGAAGCCCTCTCTGCTTATCATGACATTGTCCTCATCTTATTTGAGTCTCGCCTGCTGCATCTATTTCCCAGACCTGTTAAAATATTTGTTATTCTTAGCACCAGAGAAGCCTTTTCTGCCTTCATGCCTTGAGGTTTAAAGTTCTTTTGACTTAACTATTTTCTTTCTTTCTTTCTTTCTTTCTTTCTTTCTTTCTTTCTTTCTTTCTTTCTTTCTTTCTTTCTTTCTTTCTTTCTTTCCTTCCTTCCTTCCTTCCTTCCTTCCTTCCTTCCTTCCTTCCTTCCTTCCTTCCTTCCTTCCTTCCTTCCTTCCTTCCTTCCTTCCTTCCTTCCTTTCTTTCTTTCTTTCTTTCTTTCTTTCTTTCTTTCTTTCTTTCTTTCTTTCTTTCTTTCTTTCTTTCTTTCTACTGAGTGACTTTTTTTATCTTTCTGGTCTGGTAAGCACAGTAAGTCACTTGTCACCCTAGAATGTTTCCACCACTGAATCCATCCTGTTGTGTTTCTGCTCTACTTCCATCCAGACTTTTATGATTTCTTTTAGGGAATATCTGTGTTTCTATATAGAAAAGTAATAGATGCCTATTGAAAATTCATAAGATGCAGAAAAGGTTAGAGAAGAAATAAAATCTCCATAAGACCACCATTAGGAAGTAACCACTGATAGATAACAGCCTTCCAGAGTTTCTATTTCTTATGCTAAATGTATGTGAATATTATGTGTATGTTTTGTTATTATAAAAATGTGATTATTTTACTTCTGTGTTTGATAAGCTGTCTTTTGTTTAGGTTTATAGGTATATTTCCAAGAAAAAATTTTTTTTTACATTATCATTTACAATGGCCTCATGGTATTCCTTGGTATGGTTGTTGCATAATCCCTTTAATCAGGGTGCTACCTATGAACATCATTACTCAACTTGATCGACATTCATTCAGTGGACACAATACTGCTCATCTGCTAAGTTCTGCATTAAGTGATGGGGATATCAAGAGCACTAAGGATGTAGGAAGCGCAAACACATGATTACAGAATGGGGCAATGCACATAGAGTGTGCTGCAGCACAGAGGAAGGAATAGGCCCATTCCCAGAGACTTGGAGCTAAGGGACTAGAGACATTTCACAGCTGACTGTGGTGTCTATTTTACGATGGATACACAGTTGGAGCTTGCAAGTGGGCACAAAGGGAAAGAGTGTTCCAAGGGAAGGAGGAACAAGAGGTACAGAGGCAAGGTGAAGGAAATGAATGAATTAAATGGCAGACACTAAACAACCTACCATGTTTCCCTCACCTCTACAGACATTTGTCAAGAAATGTATTGATGTCTAAAGATTACTGTGCTCTTGTCATTTTAAAGCCAAAATAATAAGTTGTCATGAAAACTCTTCAATATCAGCTATGACCATCCTCTTGGTGGTTTAGCTTTTTGGATTATGATGAGCTCTCAGCAATCTCACATTCTAATAGACATGATTGATGACTCAAGACTGGCAGCTGGAAGAACAAAGATACAACAGAGAGCAGTTCTATATAATGCCACCCCTCTGTGTTTGAGGGTTCATTGTCCTAAAAATACTCCCTTTCTTTCCATAAAATTTCAGACACACAATAATCATAATTAAATAACCTGCTTTCTTTAAATTCCAGTTAGCTATGGTCCAATCAGTATTTCCTTATTTTGAAAGAATTTCATTGTTTCACCCCTGCTTATTTTTAATTAGGAGATGGATATGATTTCACATCTGAGTTTCTTGTACTTCTGTTTACCATGAAGAGTATTGGTGAGGGGATGTGATGATGGGAGGGAGTGTGCACAGATCTGAACATCAAATGAATTCACCAGAATTGTTGAAGGTTTCACTCCCTGTGTGTGACAAACATCTGGTGTTTATCTGATGGTATGTAAATTATTTTACAGTAGTTCATCCAAGTCCCTTTGAGTTCTACTGGCTACTCTTTGAGTTATATTATGTAGCACCACCAGCAGAAGTGACCTAATATGACATCCTGCTTCCAATATAAAATTCCAATACTGCTGGTAGAATGTCTACCCACATCTTACTTTTACCATGTTCACACACAAAGAGAAGATATTGTTAGACAACAGATACAGAACAGAAAAGCCCAAGTTTTATTTTATGAGGGAGGCACACTAATAGAAGAAACTAGCTGTCCTCATCTACTTCTTGGGCGCAAGAGACGGTGTCCCAGCAACTTCTTGGGGTGAGGGCCCCTCATGGTGTGGGTTCTAACCATGCTCTCGACTTACTCTTTGTTGTGAGATGTCTACAGGTAAAATCCACGTGTGCTTTATGGCCATGACATTGTCTTAGTAATGACAGGAAACACATTTCCCAGATAAAGAAAAGCCAGGAGAGATACACATTTTACTTGGAACCACGTGAGAACAAAGCCTTCTTTTCAGCATCGTGTAGCGAATCATGTAGCAAATCTTTGCAAATTGTTTTTTAGGCACTAGCACACATCCTCTGGGCCAAGATATGAATATTCTTGCTTCCTATAATAATACATAAGCAGCTACTAGTAATTTCATACTGTAGAAAGCCTCATTTATGAAATTAATATCTGTTTTGCTCAATAAAATACTGCCTGTTGAGCTAGAGTGGCAAAGGAGTGGTTACCAGCTTTTAACAGTCTCGCGGCAGGGCAATGCAAAAGCCTGAAAAAATAAGGAAAAAAGAACTGAGATCTGATTGAAAACAGGAAAAATATTTTTTGGTAGGGGGAGTGTGTCAGATTTTTTTTTAGAGTATCTCTGATAACTCAAAGAGCTGTTAAATTTGTCACTGGACTCTCCAAGCTAAAGAAAATATTTTTTTGAACAACTGTCTCATTTCCTTGGATAACACATGTTTTCTGACCAGCATGAACATTTAAATCAATGCTGCCCTAGGATCTGTGGGCTGAATTCATGGCATCTTAACAGTATGTAGATTTGGACTTTGTTTTCCAATTTTATTTTTCAATTACAGTTTATATTCAATATTATTTTGTATTAGCTTTAGTCTTGAACTTTTTATAGTTACCAATCAAAATATAACCACTTTATATTTAGTGATACAATTCTCTTTTTATGTATTTTTCACTATTATTGTACTACATAGAAAAAAATACTGATGGCTAAGACTATTCTTATTAATAACACATTCATGGAGCAACACCTCTGTGTCCAGAATTTTATTAAGAGCTAAATTTACATACACTATTTCTAT